ACATAAGTCTACATGTATTATGTAAAAGTGGATGGGGAATAGAAATATGGTCATTTTTGGTCTTCTTCTGACAGTAATAAACCCTTGCCAGTGTTCATCACCGTTTTGATTGTTCACGATGTATAAATACTCAGCCACGTCTGGTCAGAATGGTGATGTTAAATCCGATGCCTCGATCGTGTAGAAGAAGTGCCACTCTCTCTGTACGCTGAAAACCCTTAGGCTACCAACACATTTTAAGTGGTCAATAGGTGCATGGTCTGTTGCAAGGTTAAATTTCTGTCCCTTTCCAATATAGTCTTTTTTTCTAGTGGTATTCCAAATTTCCCGTCATTCATCCCGGTCGACACATTTTACAGGACCTATCTATTGTATTTATTGTCATTTTGGTCTCGTGCTAAACATACATGAAATATTTGCCACTAGACGTTAAGCAAACAACAATCAATCAATCATGTATAGTGATTACTTACATTTAAAATTTGCGTTCTGGTTCAGGTTGACCGATCTTTGTCAGAATTACGGCTGTTGGACTAAGAAAATTCATGTAAATTATACTTATTCAGAAATTTGTATAATAATTGTCGTGTTTATATGTGGTACACAAATTATATCATTGAAAAGTGATGACTTACAGATCGCATTTGCGATTAATTCCTGATGACTAACTTTTGACTACTCGTTCAGACTTTTTTTTGTTATGCTTGCAAATCTGGTGCATCAGTGTATAATAAAAGCTACATTGTAGCAGATAAAGTTTTCGTTTCATGCCAATGGATCGACATTCCTGCGAACATGCCCCAGATTGGAACATTCGTGTCGTACAGACACATGTATTTTTTTTTTATTCGTTTATAGTTACAATGTCTACTATGTACTAGTTTCTGCCAAGAAATGTACCGAAATAAAACGTATCTTAATATTGGATTATCTACTTTAATGTGAATTATCAAAAAACGAAAATAAGTTCACTCATTTTATATTAGATTTTTACACACAATCGCCAAAACCGATTTAATTAAAAGTAATATCTAGTCGGCTTGTTCTTCCTATTAATGACATTTCTGTATAACAGTCAATCAACTAGTATTTAAAAATGTCCAATATTGACTGAGTCATTGTTAAAGAAAGATCTCACTCCTAACAAATAAACGAAAAAATAAAACCGAAGGAATTATTATAGTTCATTGTCCCACTATCTCGGAAAAATATAAATATTACCTGCAGTTCCACTGTAACCATTCACGGTCAGTATGTAGTTGGTTGACTTGTCGCCGATATTGAAAGTAGAATATTTTGCATATGCCTTATCGCCATTAAAATCCATCAGATTGACCCAGAGTTCATAACTTCCTTGAGATGTTAAATCATTGAGTTTATCATTACCTTTAAAAAAAAATTATAAGTGAAGAAGAACTGCAAAAAATATATAATTAACAAACATCTTAAATGTACATTAAGTGCCAGTCTTTGTAAGAATCAGGCAATTTAGAAGAATTTCAAAATATGGCCGGAAAAAAACTCCCCCGACCTAACCATCTTATTTTGAAGTTACCTCATCCTGAGTTGGAAATGGTAGGTCTTTTGTTTCTGCGTGTCTGGTAATTCGAGATATCTCTAGATAACTTTTGATTAGAATGATACCAATTTACGCGGTAAGCTCCCTTTAATTATTAATTTCTAGTGCATTTCAACAAAATTATATCTTGAAATACCAGAACAGGAAAAGGAAAAAGGAAAATAACAAAAATACCGAACTCCAAGGAAAATTCAAATCGGAAAGTCCCTTATTAAATGGCAAAATCAAAAGCTCAAACACATCAAACGAATGGAAAACAACTGTCATATTCTTGACTTGGTACAGGCATTTCCTTATGTAGAAAATGGTGGATTAAACCTGGTTTTATAGCTAGCTAATCCTCATGACAGTCGCATAAAATTCCATTATATTGACAACAATGTATGAAAAAACAAACAGACGTAAAAGGTAAAATGTCAAAAATAGGGGTACAGCAGTCAACATTGTGTTATAATTTTAATCAATATAAAACAAACAAATATGTCAGCAAAGAAAAACAAAATGGCAAATAGACATAGCACATATACAAAAATGAAAGACAAGAATACAAACAAGAGGCTCTCAAGAGCCTGAATCGCTCACCTGTATTTCAGAGGAGAAGATTTTTAAATGTAAGCAAACTTGATGAACAAATTGTGTAAAATTGTCTTTAAAGGGCATTTGACCCTTATGTTCTATGTTTAGCCATGACGGCCATGTTTGTCGATGGATACAAACTTGGGATACAATTTATAAACAAGATACCCTAAGGAACATTTAGTTAAAGTTTGAAGGTATTTGGCCCAGTAGTTTTAGAGGAGAAGATTTTTTAAATAGTTTACGACGACAGACGACGACAGACGACGGACGACGACGGACGCCAAGTGATGGCATAAGCTCACATGGGGCCCTTCGGGCCCCGGTGAGCTAAAAATGACCAAAGCACAACAACAGATTGGCGGGATGCATAAGTACCGAGCCACGCCAAAAGGATATTACCAAAAAAGGACTAAACAGTAAAGGTTAATAATTTACAAAGACAAATAAAAGAACACTTTAACACATAATTAAGATGATAAACAACGTCAGTACCTAGGATCTATACCTTAAGACCATCATGTATTATTTGTGATGTTGATACGGAATATTTATCAACAAGGTCTTGGTATCTTCCGATGAACTTTCTTTATAAAAAGGACGAGATGTTCTTTAACATGGTTCTGGTTCATCAACCTTCTGCTTAAACGAATGTTATATTCGTGCACCATTATACATTTTGAACTAATTAAATTGTAAATTTGAGCGGGTTTTTGTTTGTCATGTTTTCACTACTGCCTGATTTTTAGGCATATAAACAATGTTGCAGGTTTGTAACTGCATAACATCTAAAAAAAAATTGAATAGTGTTGTGTATTAAAGTTCATGATTTGACGAAACCCAGGTTCTTATTCAGATGAAACTGTTCATGCACGTTACATCATTTTAATCCATACCATGTCTTGTCTTGAAACAAGGCAGCACAATCGATAAATGATCAAAAAAGGAAACCATTCAAAATAAAATACATTGATAAATCCTTAATTCGATTTTACTGTGGGCTTCGTATGTTAACCGTTTATCTGGTTTTATGATAAGCGAGCTTGAAACAAGTGCAGAACGTATCTAGTTCAATAAACAGTCTGATCAAGATTTAAACACTGCTATTAGTTGCAGCTGGGCATTCGACATTTAGGGCTTGGAGCAAACATTTCGCCGCTCGAAAGGTGACATATCTTTCTTCAGACGGTGACTTTGTGAGCTAACACGTTAACATTCCGACCTAGATCACATCAACATGTTCTCATCCTTATATAAATGTTATATTTGCTACTGGACGTTATAAATCAATCAATCCATCTACCTCTTCAGTTTAATTAAACTTTCAATATTAATCATTGAAAAGTTGTTGAATTTATCTGTGAAACCGTATCGTATCATGAAAACAATTATTCCATAGTACTTTTCAGTAGATAAAAAAATCGGATATTTAGCCTTGACGTTATTTTGTTAACTACTGACCTAACCAAAAACCACATATTCTGTCCATCCGCGGTAAAAATCTACTTGACCGTCTTGTCTGTGCTGAAAAAGCTTAAAAGAAATGTGAAAGCTAATTAATATGAGGAAGAAATATATGTTCGAAATATAAAATAGTTTGCCTAAATGGCATGCTAGCTTTTATATGCATTAAATAGGAGAGGCTTATAAGAACAATATTCAAGATATGTATGTTTCATAGAATTCGTACTTTTGATTGGCTTACAACAATCGAAAGGCATTTCAAATTAGATTTCATTTCCCAATATTCATGACATCACGTGATTTCCATGACAACGTCACAGTAATGCATTGGAAAAGAAACGAAAAACTTGATGTCACTCGTAATTTCACGGTTGCAGCACAAAATAAGTAATTATAAGAATTGATTGCTTCTTTTTGTAATTTTATAGGGTTGTAAAAGCGTTCATCGGGCGCAGATTTTAGTGTGAAGCCTGGAAGAAGCATTTAATTCTTAAATAAAAGAGATATTCGAAAATGGGACTAATCTAGGTGACTATCAAATTAATCCGCTAAAGATATATCTATTTTTTAATTAGAAATGCGAGACCTATTCAGTATTTAAATTCGTAAATTGTAATGTTAGAAATCCGAATAAAAAATACTGAATTTAATGACTTTATTGCACGATTAGACTGAATTTAAGAACTTAATTGCTCGATTCTTCAAACACTTTCACTCACAAGAATTCCAAATACTTAAACTTGACCATCAACTTTATGTGTCATTTGGTCTTTTATGGAGAGTTGTCTCATTGGCAATCATACCACATTTTTTTTATTTATACTTCAAACACCTCGAATCTCTATTTTCCTTTCCAAACTATTTTCTAGGTAAACTAACTATAGAAAAGTGAAAATAACAAACTAAATCCCAGTCATTTGGACTCTGCAGCCAATAAAACAAATCTCCACTAAATTCTGTAAACAGGTATGAAGGGCAGGAATCTTCCATTTGAAAAGAAGGTCATTTCGGATAGGGACAGAATCTTTGCTCCAAATTAGCCAACTGCGGACCCCTCAGATAGTTTTTAAAATGGTACTTTAACTTGGAATTCCTCATTTCGACCGGACTCGTAAGTGTCTGCGTATTTATACATCCTGCTCAACCAAACGGGTGCTCCTTGCGGGATAATCCTACCCAGTACAGAGAAACTCGGCATATTTCTATACTCCTGTGTTACTATTTTGTTCAACCTCTGAGCCCTTTTCCCTGTCACCTTAGGAATTAATAAGATAATCAAGGTAAAAATGAAGAATGAAATGATTAAAAGGCAAGTCTCTGAAGAATTTTCATTTCAACGTAAAAATATATTAACATATAAAATAAAAAAACAATTACAGTCCATCCTCCCCCATCGGTCTCCATATCACAGTACACGTGGAATCCAGCTCTACCTTTCGGGAAGATTTTGTACACACCACTTCTGTAAAGTTTTCTGTCCAAGTCGGAGCAGTCTCGAGGATTATGCACTAAAATGATGTGTAGAATAATACTAAATGATAAACTATTACAGACAATTGACATACCTTGGAAAGAATAGCTAGGTTATAATAAAAATAAAAGGATATTAAATTCTCTGATGTAACAGTTTAATGTACTACAACATGCAAAATTTAATGGTTTTGCATCTTATTTGTTATCTTCATATTACATAATTATGAGATACAGTGTCAAGGATTATATAATTAAAAAGAAAGGATACGGTGGAAAAATTCATGACACAAAATCACTTCACACACAAAAAAAAACAACAGCGCTTTTATTGCTGTTTTTCATCTTAATTTCACTGAAAAGCCTGCAAAAATGAAGCAAATATTTTATCATCACTGCAAGTTCATGACAACCCCTAGCATCAGTTTGATTGCAGTTCTTTCAGATACATCAAAATATTTCTTTATATACTGGGAACTTACTTATAGATTTATTTAAAATCAAGTAGGTTTATTTTACCTGAAGACAGCATATGCCTGTATTTTCCTGTTGTCAAGATGCTAAGTACCCGTTCAGCCGTTTTGCCATAAAAGCAAACACCTGAAAAATAATAAAGGAATCAATGTACGATATAGTTATTATTCGTACGTTTTATACAACTTTAAGGAATGTAAAAAGTACCAATAAATATTTCGATCGTGTTATAATTACCAGAATTAGAAGTTGATGTAACTTGATTTCTGTCGGCATCTGTCTTTGCTACCAGCGTCAACAAAACTAAACTGAACAACAGTCTCAAAGGTGTATGTATGTTGGATCTATACATTTCGAACGAAGCTTCCTTAGAACTGGAACTGATACACATTTATATATACATCAAATTGAAATGTCAAATGTTGCGTGACTTATTACTGTAACAGCCTGTACTGATAAATATTTCTAAGAATATTTTCAAATTTTACGAATTTCACCTACTTCCTTGTATATTTCTGGAATGTTTTCTTTAAGCATAGTATGTTCATTTAGAAAAAATAAAATAAAACATACGTGTATTTATGAATACACTATAAGCTGATTCGAAAATATTATTTGAAACAGATACATATTTGATATTCATATAACAAGAATGTGAGGTGTCGGGTTCATTCTATACACCATTATTCTCTTCTCCATTCACAACAGCAAAATATTACATTCCTGTTCATGATTGGAAACAAAATTTTATATCCTGGATAGTATCTTAAACGACGGTTAATGACAATCGTACCCATAAAATATATTATACAAATATTTAATCAATGCATAGTGGTTCACTTTTCTGACCTTTTCAGAATAATTGAATTGAAGTCGGAGACAATGGCGCTAAGTCGTACTGTTGGTAAAAGAGAGGCGAAAGATACCAAAGGGACATTCAAACTCATAAGTCGAAAATATACTGACAACGCCATGGCTAAAAAAGAAAAAGACAAACAGACAAACAATAGTACACAAAACACAACAGAAAACTAAAGACAGAGCAACACGAACACCACTAAAAACTGGGGGTGATATCAGGTGCTCCAGAAGGGTAAGCAGATCCTGCTCCGCATGTGGCACCCGTCGTGTTGCTCACGTAAGTACAAACCCGGTAATAAGTCTAATTCGGTAGGTTACATTCGGGATTGTAATTACGACATTTGGAACAAATCCGCTATCATCTGTGAAACGGATATTCCGTAACGGTCAACCAACTTGTGATGGCGTCCGTAAAGTTTACGAAGGGATGATTTCAACTTCACCACTTGGAACTCTTGGTTTAATAGCTTCCTTGTGAGCAGCAACCCTCTATTAAGGAAATCATGATAGGAAATACAAGCCCTGGGGTATCGTATCAACTGGGAGATATATACTCCGTATGCAGGCGCTGCTGGAATGTTGCAATATAAAAAAAAAGTTCACAATTGGGAAGCTGAAATCATCTCTTCTGTCATAAAGTTTTATTTTCAACCGATCCTCATTGTCAATTTCTAGATGTAAGTCAGGATATGAGGCAGACTTAACTGTATCTCTTGTATCCTTTATCTCAAGTTCGATTGGATAGATGCGTTCAACATAGTCACCAAATTTTGCATTATTTAGTGAGAGAACATCATCTATGTAGCGGAAAGTAAAGTTAAAGGATACTGCTAACTTCTTTTCTTTCTTCCTAAGAAGTTCCTGTATGAAGTCAGCCTCATATGAATAAAGGAACAAGTCGACAAGAAGAGGGGCACAGTTAGTTCCCATGGGAATGCCGATTGTTTGTTGAAAAACGCGTCCTCCAAACGTAACAAATATGTTGTCAATCAAGAAATCAAGCATCTTCATAATGTCAGTTGCAGAGAATTTTTTGTTAGAATCAGAGTGATTTTTTACAAAGTAGGATTTATCCCTCCCTAAGACAAGATACTTGTATCTAAGTTGGCCATTCTTTTATATGAAACAAATCAGGACCAAATCTTTCAATTTGTCTTTTAGTTTGAAATGGGGAATACTTGTGTAAAGTGTAGAACAGTCAAATGTTTGAATACTATTGCAAGATGAAATATATATATATATTTATTAAGAAACTACCCCTTTACAACGGGGGCACTTGCAGATAGGGTACCTACAAATGCGTCTAAGAGCATATACAATGAAATAAAGAACACATTGGACAATATCATAGTTAATAATTGATTCTCTTTAAAACAAGTCAACTTTCATGTAAAACATAACAGCATTATATATTAAGATAACATCTCAACATTTAGAGATCACATCAATTAAATTGCACACGCAAATCACAGTTAGCTTAATTTCTAAAATCGAAGACCTGTAAGTGCACATTTCACTCAACATCTTTTTACAAAAAGTGTCAACATGTTTACAAACATTTGGATCAACCTTATAGAAATATTCACCAAGCAGTATGTTTATTTTTTCGAAGAACGGTGACTCTGTGAAGCAAAAGTCGGTGAAGTTAGTAGGCCTACTTAGGTACTCATTTATATCGGCATGAAAGAGTCTTAGATTGTAAAAGATCTTTAAAATGTTTTAGTATCCACATCTGATACACGTTTCATATGATCAGAAGAATATTCCCAAAAGGAGTTGTTTCAGCATTGTGAAAGAAAACTTATAATTTTAATATCAGTAATACTCTTTGTGTTTCATAGACCTCCAAGTTACAGAAATATGTCTCAAATTGCTATTCCTGATTATTAATTAACTACACTGTTATTGGACTTAATATGATGAAAACTGCCTATGTCAACTCGGCCAATACAGAATAACTCGGCCAATACAGAATAACTCGGCCAATATAGATTTTTTTTCTGTATTGGCCGAGTTCTGATCCGGCCAATACAGATTTCGGAACGTCTCTAGTTTTTAGATCGAAAGTCACGATAAACACAAACTGAAAGTAAACAGTTGTTTTGAAGACGCAGTTTTCATTTACTCACCATAAACATGCTAAAACGTTCAGTATGGCATATATTTCAGGCTAAAGACGGTCACATTCATTTAAAAAGCATTTTGAAAGCAGACGATGGAATTATTTCAGGTATCGGGAACGAGTAGATTATCACAAAGACCATTTCTTGTCGACCTCATAATTTCACGATGGTACAAATCGATTAACTGTTTACTTTCGCTTCTCATGTTTTGTAAACTGTCATTTATTTTTAAACCCGAACCAGGCATTTGCATTCTGGAAGGGTGACCTGTAATTGTGCAAATCTTCGTTCTTTGGTCAGTTGGCTTATGGATAGTCGTATCATTTTCAACTCCTACATTATTTTTTTTTAAAATATATTCAATTTGTTTCTGCATAACACATGCAATGGCAGTACCTTTCAAATTACTATTTATGTGTTGTGTCTAAATTTAAATTGTAACACTTAATAGTGACTGGAAAGGGTAGAAAAATTCATCAGATGAGAAATTCTGCAGACACCTGGAAACGGCACCAGATCATTAGATATTGCATTTTATAAAAAGAAACTGCGATTTGGATAGTTCCACTTCAAGGTAAAAATGTTTATCTCTTGTGAAATGAAATAAAAAAATATTGTAACACTGTAGTTAATTAATAAAGATACTATTACGTGTATTTCTATATTGGCCTTGTTATTTTGCCTCAGGCCAATACAGCAAGCCTCGGACCAATAGCAAGGCCAATACAGAAATAATCACGTAATAATATCATAATATGCATGAAATAATTGCTACTGGACGTTAATCAAGCAACAATCGATAAATCTTATCTTGCAAGGGCTTCGGTGGCCAACTCTGGCCGGTCGAAGCAGATCATCTAAATAATCACAAGCCTATCAACACTGAGGATATGAATTCTAACCCCGCTCAAGGCAAGCTGCCATCGAATCCGATATTGCTTCACTACTGTATGTTTTCCTGCCGAAGACCGTAGGTTCTCTCTTGGCTCTCCGACTTTCTCCACCAAGAAAAACCGGTCGCAATGATATAACTTAGTGTTGAAATGTGGTGTTAAAACCCAATAATTTATCAATCGATCAATCAATCAATGTAGAAAATACGTCATTGTTCTTGCGGACCTGACAAGTCTTTCTAACAATGTCTTCTGTATAACTATGTAAGTTGTAGCGAGAAAATCACAAACGTATTTCCATATGAACGTAAGGAACGTTTATTCTTTTCCAATATTGATTCTAACCAAAAAATCTATTATGGGCTTAATACTCTGGAAAAACTTATTTTGTCGGATTTAAAGCCGGAATATCCAAACCATTTTAAAACTTCTGTATGACTTCGAACTTATTTGTATTGTCCTAAGCATTCAATAATGAAATTAAGGTTTTAACTGCCTCAGGCAAAGTTGACGTAAGATGGATTTGATGGGCCTTTTTGGTTGTATAGCTCTTCAACTGTTTCTGTTCTTATACATCCTTTGCTTTCAAATATAAGCCTTTCAGCGTTTCTGATAAAAGTAAATCAAGAAAAGCGCTTCCGACGCATAAAATTATGACGTGTTGTTTTCATTTTTTGCTTTCTAATACATCTGTGTTTTGTTTGTTTGAACACAATTTTCAATGATTGTTATTTGTTATTTGTTATATTCGTATTGACCTGTATATTTCTATTTTGTATTACCCCTTTCTCTCTATGTGGTTTCGCTATTTGCTATTGTCAACATGGTGAAAGAGTCTTATAAAATTGCAATTTTACAGTTAAATTCAGTCTTTCAGAAATTACTCTCTGATTTGGGTTTCACCCGTCGTTAATCGCATAATCATCGTATAAGATATTCAGACATATTTCAAAATAAACGAAAAGTGAATACAGAGTTGTTTGTCCGATAGTTCATTTTTTTTATCGTTTGATATATTTTTATTATACTCATTTAACATGTGTGAAACTTCTTTTCGTCAGCATAATTCATATATTTATTAACTAAGATAAGATAATGATAAAAGGCTCTTTTACTGTGTTTAAAATTCAATGTGGTAATTGTATTTGACTTGATTTTTCTGGCCGAAAGCACCTTTTCTTAATCCATTTTTACTTGGTATATCATGTTGTTGCTCTGCCTCAGTTAACAGAATCTAAGAATGATGCACTGTTTGATATAATAAACAATGTTTTGAAATTATAAAAATATTAACTGGATACCAGAATTTCTTCGATAGTTTTTTTTATCGAATAGAATATTTACAGTTTTCGTAATCAGTCAGACTCGCACATTTATAAGGTGAACTTAAGTTGGTAATCAAAAGGGACAAATGCTTAAAAAATAATTGAGTCTTAATTAATTGTCTATTGCTACTGGTGTTTCCAATATAAACTTATAGAAG